ATAGTTCAACTTTTAAAACTAGTTATCAGTTTTTTTTGTTTTTTTTTGCTTAATGGTGTACGTGTTCAAGTACAAAACAAATGAGCTGTGACGGTGTTTATGAACCCATTTGAAGCAGTTTTGTTATTTTATACAAAACTAAAAATAACCACTATAATTTACCTTCTAAACAACCTTTTTAAAAACAAAAAAATTACTTTCTTTAAACAGCCATCAAAATTTTAAGCTTAAATTATAAAAATAAAACTTTAGAAATATTTGTTCAAAAGGTTTTTATAACTGTGTTAGAAAGCTTCTTTAGATTTCCTGTTATATTATAACAATTTTGGTACCTCAACATGTCATTGTGCCCCAATTCACAACTTCCAGTAATTCCCTATTTGATATTTATTCATCTTGACAAATGCCCTGCAGTATAGTTCCCATTTCATAAAGCTTTGTAGTAAGACTATCATGTGACAAGCAGAGTGTTTATCACTACATGCTTTCCATGAGTCGTCTAGTGAACGTGGATAATGATTTCCATCACCCATTTCAGTAGTCCAACAAAAGTCCATAGGTAACTTGTCTGGTATACCTTTATTGGAAATAGTATGAATACTCGTTTCAGTCTTCAGCTTCTAGAGGTATACATTTTTAAGCAGGTACTCCAAGGAGGCAACACGTGACTTATGTTGCTTTTCTAGATGGAGTTCTTTCTTGATTATGCTTCACAACTTTGTTTTTGACACATGAACGGCTCTTCCCACTGACTAACATTTTCTAATACAAAATATGGACTGTGACAATGTTTATGAAAACGTGTAAAATATTCCTGCTTCTTTTATGCAAAACTAAGAACAACCACTACAATTCATTCTTCAACCAACCTTCCTAAAACTAGAAGTTTTACCTTGTTTAAACAACCATTAAAATGTTAAGCTTAAATTGCAAAATAAAATTTGACAAATATCTATGCTACAAGTTTTTATGAATTAATTCCAAAGGTTCTTTTATAGCATTCGTGAAATTGCAGGCAATTTTAACAAACTACAATGCAATACAGATATTGAGTATATTATAGTCAAACAATTTTGAATCCTCACCACTTCATTGCAGTCCATGATGGCATGTCCAGTCATGCTCTGTTTGATGGCCATGCATAATAACAATTGTCCTGTAACATAATGTTCATTGCAAAAGATTTCATCTTTAGAATATTAAGTTAAAAACACACTAGTTGTTCGTGAATGCTTTTCATAAGTCATTTAGTGAATTAGGATGACAGTTTCCCAGTGCCCAGTTCAACAGTCCAATTGCACAAAAATGGGTATGCCTTCATAGAAAACAACATGAATACACTTTTTCATTCTCCAGTTATTTGAGGTATGCAATAGTTGAATGGATATGTCAGGGAAGCAATTTGTGTATACATGACTTGTGTTGCTTTTCAAGATGGAGATTCTTCTTGATTATGTTGCACAATTTTACCTTGGACACGTGGACGGCTTTTCCCATTGATCTTTATGTCTGTCCTTTGTAGCCCCTAAAAGGACATCACACTTTCTTTACCATGTCAACCGTATGACTTTTTGCATGTTTTTTTTTGAATGGTCGTAGTGCCTCACATTGATCCATACTCCTTTTGTTTTCCAATACCACTAAGTACAATGGATATCTCTCTCTTGGAAAAGTTATATCTCTGATCTGAACACATCTTTATGACCTGAGTGTGTGAATATTGTGCATAAAAGGGCTACTAAATAACAAAATGTGATAAATTTTTGTTGGAATCACACACACTATATATATATATATATACATGAAATGGCATGCAAGGGTCAAAATGTAGTTCTGGTTCACTACACATTATATTGACTGAGGTGGTCACATAACTTCCTTATTTCCATATTCAAAAATCGTTTCAATATTGTTTAAACTGAAATATTTATGTGCAATAACTTTCTTTGGTGACGCTTTGAAAATATATTATCTTTTTTCTTGTAGTTCATAATTAATGTATCTTTGATGTTGTAAATTACACCAAGCAACTTAGAAGTGTAAAGCAATTGACTGATTTAGAGTATTATCTTACTTAATTTTCCCTCATGAATTGTAATTTATATGTATTTTGCAAAATACATTTATTTTCTTTCTAAAAAAACGTCGTGAGATTTATGAGTCTGCCCAAAATATTAAATGATTATATATTACTTACACAACTGAATGATACCTCGCCAGAAATATTTTATCATGTAATAATAGACAGGGGAAGTCTTAGTGATCATGGTATAAAACTGTTCTTGGGCTAAATAATTACTGCTATTCTCCAAGACACGCTCTCAACTAAGCTGCTAAACGTGTCTGGTACAATTTCTTTTCATATTTGTTTCATGAGCTTGGCCATATGTGTTTAATTACTGTTTTCTACCTAATTTGGTGATATAAAAATGCTTAAGTTTTTAAATATATTTTGTTTATATACAGTTTTAGCATAAACACGTGTCCAGAAATCCATTAAAATTGCCATGTTTTAGTTGTTGTGTTTCTTTGTTCTCTATAGTAGATATTATCTATTCTGCCTAAGAATACATTCCAGAAACGTATAATCCAAGTTGCAAAGATTAGTACTGTAATATCCTTTACTGGCCAAGTTGATGTACTCTAAATATAAAATTTGATAAATGCTCTGATAAAACAAAAATCATGAGGAAATGCTGTCGACAAGACAAGAAAGCCAAGTTTATCTATTGAATTCAGGCGTCTTTTCTTGGGTCAATTAAATTAAGAAATCATCGTGTTATAGTTCTACAGAGATCAGCCCTAGAAAGTGAAAGGTATGGAACTAAGTACAATTTAGTAAAGATTCGACTGTGATTCTGTCTGTGCAAGTACATACTTTGTATTTTCTTCTGTTATATAATGAATATTGTTTTCATTTATTTAAATTTGTGCAGTTTTGTTATCCACACAGACACATTAGGAAAACTCAGTTACATAATCAGATTCAGAAATACTCCCCTTAATTCCTGAGTGAAACTGCTGTTATTAATGGGTCTAACTATCTTATACTTGCAGGTAAGTCACTTTTTTACCTGAAAATACCTCAGATGGGAAAGAGAAGTTTTAGTACCATGACATCAAGATTTGTTGCAGAGTTCCTAAATCAATAGTGTTTGCATTAACCCTGGCTTAGCATCGTGATTTTTTTTTAATTTTAACTATTTCCATACAGAGTAGATCTCTGTAACTGACCTCGTAACCACAAAGTAGCGATCAGAGTTTTCATATTATAACTTTTAATATGTTTTGTGCATCTTCATGAAATTTGTTACGTTTTCAGTAGACAGTAAGGCCTTTTGTACAGAAAAAAAACTGATTTTTTAATTAAGTATTTTACCAAAGAACGGTTCGTAAATATATGGAGTCAGAGTATTAACTGTTCCAAGTTCAAAATGATTTCTATGTTAAGATTAAAAATACTTTTCTTCATTTGAAAATTGTCAAATTTCATTTGTATAGCATTTAAAACCTCTAAAGAAATATCAAACATCTTTATCAGTAAAACTTTGTATTTCATCTGTTATTTTATCTACCCTAATTTCATACAAACTAGTCCATTTGACCGACCTTGTAACTACCATAAAAATGAGATAAATCTAAATTACCCTTTTTTTCTTTCTATAATGACTACAGATTGTATCTGAAAACTACAATTGTTTAACCTAAATAGCGTAAGACTCATAACAGCCTACATCTATTTTTAATTAATTTTATTGTTTTATTTCGTAATCATTCCGACACTCAAATTTAAATCATTTGGTGAACGCATAGCTCACTTTACTTTATTAAATTATTCATAACTAAATTGAAAGTTAATGGTTATATGGATTGGCATATAAAAAATGTGTACACGTTTTTTATAATATAAACGAAATTATTTTAAAAAGTAAATTCTCGATTATGGAAACTACCTCGTGGAGAACTTAGAGGTCGGTAGTTACTCAATGTTATCATTGGCTTATAAGTAACTAACTTTAAAAAAAAAAAGAAAAGACTTTTGTTTAGTATATCGGGTCGGGAAGGTTAAGGGTAGCTGGGCTTCTCTCAGCTCGCCTGGGTTTAACTTTAACAAATCGTCAAGGGAGGAGGTTGGGAGTTTAAGAACTATTAACGTAATATTTTTAGTTCTGTTTAACATCATTTTGTAAATAAAAGGGTGGCAGTAGGGAGTTTGACCTTGTAGAATTTTATGGTGGCATTATTTCTATTTAAGGTTATGTCTGAGTATTAGGAATAACTGCCTTCTCACAAATGGTTGCAGACATTGAAAGGCAGTGGGAGTTGAGCCATTGTGGGTGTAAGCGCTTAACTACTAACCCTTAACTGATTTTCAATAGCTGCTGGCTAGTTTAACATTAGCGTCTGGAATTTGTCTAATAGATGGAATATACCCAACGCATTTGGGGGCTATGATTACAGACATTATTCATTATGACTTAATGCTGACAACTAGGACTGACAAAGGCAAATAATTTTTAAGTATAATTTTAGTTATTTTGTAATGTTTGTTTTATATTAAGTTCATTATTGTTTTATGGTGCTGATTTAATCGCCTATTGACAAATAACGCAATTAAAAGTATTAGAGCTATATATATATCAAACAAAACTGAGTTGTGTATAATGAAACTAATAAAAAAGAAATGAAGCTGTCCATTGCCAGTTCCTACCATTATCTTTTGGCTCAAAACACTAAGAATCTCTGTGGTCGTAGCACTCAAAGGCGTTTCAAATATTCTATCTATCAGTACAATCCAAACGCAAATGTCAAACTGGTTAGCTGTTACGGAATCTGGCCTCAATAACGTGTTGAACTCAAAAATACATTGTGCTTTGTGTTTCTTTTTTGTACCAAAATACATTGTTTTGGCAGTTAGACATGCTTGAAGTATTCAAATATCAGCTGATAACGTCAATGATAATTATTATTTAAATATAGGTTTTAATATATGTTAATTGTGACGAGGAAATATTACGAACACCATACACTTTCTTTACATAGTTGATCAAACTCGTGTTCATCTGGATAATGTGGAAAACTTGGGAATTTTCATAGAATTAGAGGTTAACACAATTTAACCCTACAAATATTAAAGTAAATCTAAAATTTCAACACTTACACAAAGGTACTGACGCATATTTTTAGATTTAAGATAAAGGGCTTATATTTTATTGCCAATTTTATACGGGTTCTGGTACTTATTCGTCAGTGTAATATTTGCAGTTGTATTCAGTTAATTGGTGGAGTCAATCGTACAGAATTTTGAGCAAATTTAGTTAAAATGTGACTCATAATAATTCACTAAAGGAAGCAGCACATCGAAACCTTGAAAAGTAACGTTTTGTAAACATTGCAATCTAATTTTTTGCAGGTTTGCTTGAGAGAACACCAATCAGTGGAAGAAGGAAAGACTATTGCCAATTTCTTGATGAAACAACTCGACGTAAAAGACGAGGACCTAGTTTCACATTCTTACATCGATATGCTAACTGGAACAAATTAACCTCCCACTTTCTGGAAATATATCGGATCAGCAGAATATTACGATTTGTGAATAAAGAAGGGAGCATCTTTCATTTAAAACATTATGTTCAAACCTTAATTTTTCTCCCTGATGAAACGTTCTAATACAATAAAAATTATCAGAAATGTGTTGTGATCATTTACAGTTACATTCACAGGTATAGTCGTTGCTACAACGCCATCTAATTTTTAGTTTTGCCTTATAACATTCTGTTAAGAGATTTGTCATATCAGAATGATTTGTGTTTTTATTTTTAAAGAATAAAACATAAGATAAATAAAATAAAACTTGAAACTAATATTTTTTACCTGTTTAGTACTTAGAATATTGTACTCAGTTAATAACATCAGTTGATTTTATTTGCTAATCAGGAACTCATCAAAATGACAGCTTAGACTGTGGAAATTTCTCGTTGCTTTCTGACAACACCGCGCACCTCCAAAGACTTTTTCAGGATATTCTGGAACAGAAAAGAAAAGCACATAAAGAATAAGTTAACATCCATTGCTCTACCAATAATGACTTCAGAAAGTACTATGTTAGAATATTCAGACCAATAATTTGGATGTCATAGCTAATCCGACAACATTTTAATGAAAATAACGATTTTTTTCTTTACTCTTTGATTTCTAGTCGGGCGTGGTTTACAGAGCCCAGGTCCTTGGTTTGAAATGTAATGCCAGAAAACATCCTCTTTACTGTCAGCTGTGGGTACATTATAAAAATTACAATCAATCCTATTATTTGGTTGTAAGAGTCAGACAAAGCCCTTGTGGCGGAGTTTGCTGCTGGCTATCTTTTCTCTGGTAAATACTTCAGAACTAGCGATGGCTATTCCTGAACTCTATTTCTAATTAGTCTATTTCTAATTTCGTAACTTTATAAAGTTCAAGCATTCATTCCTATTTATTTGTAGCTTGTATTTATTTGTTGTTTGTTCAATTAAATCGAGCTTTATTATACGTCGAAATATTTTACTGAAACCTATTACACTAAAGTTAACACCGATTTACAGTTAAAGTGTGTGAACTTTTACATACTGGCTGCGATAATGAAATTATTCTTTATTTAATCAAAAGTGTATGGTTGTTTTTATTTTACTTTTAGAAGAAACGATTATTCATCTCATTATATGTGTTGTCGTCTGAATATTGTCTGTTTTTCTACAAACAATTGTTAACCCAATCTAGTTTATGGAGTCACTTTTGTATTCCTCGGATATGTAAATAATTCACTTCATCGTGGTTATTTTTACGTTCTTATGTTAGGAATACAAGTCACTAGCATAAATAAACAAGTATAAGTATTTATTTGTATATTTTTTATGTCCTTTATAGTAAAGTAAAAAAGAAATACGTAATGAAGACGAAATATGTATACCTTTAGACCTTCCACTTCATCAACATTCTGGAAAACCTGCTTTTCATAGTTAGAAAGTTTGGGACCATCTTCATCAGGTCGATCATAATGAATAAGTTCTGCTGGATATCCCTGAAAAGGAACAATAATAGTTAAAACGTATATAGCATTATATACCGATAAATTCAACAAGAAAATCATAGTTAATCAAATAAATTGCAGTGATTTTGCGTACATAATTAGAGTATTTTATGCAAAAACGATTCTAGGTACTCACATGAAGTCACCTCTGATCATGCTGTATCTGGTAACTGTGCATTTTGACAATTGTCCTGAAGCATAGTTTCCATTGCAAAGGTATTCGTCGTAAAACTGCCACACTCAAAGCTCACCACTCCTCCGTGCTTGTTTTCAATAGAAAAATAAAGTGTGCAAGAACGATGTTTTGCCAGCGGCTGTTTTAAAATCCCAATCGAACAAAAATCCATAGGTGCTGTGTCTGGCAACTTGCATGATATGTATGGAAAAGCACAAAATGCCCCTTTCATTCTTCAGTTGGATGTGAAGGTGAAACAGATATGTCGTAGATGCAGCTTGCATACACGTTACTTGTGTAGCTTTTCCAGATAGAGTTCTTTCACGATTACATTGTATACTGTTGCCTGGGGTAAGTGGATGGCTTTTGCCAGTGACCTCTGTGTTCATGAATTCTCATCTGTTACAAGATGCCACACTTTTCTTAGAATAGCTTGAATGAGGCAGCTGCATATCTCTTTTTTGGATGTTCTCTGGGTCACCAAGTTGATTCATATTCTTTTGTTTTCTAAGGTTATGTCTTGGAAATATTAAATTTATGATATGAATACACGTTCATGATCTGACCGTCTGAATATTTAGTGTCAGAAAGGACTGTTACATACCCTGCCAAAAGGTGATAAATTTTCGGTAGCATCACACTACCTAATTAACGTCAAACATTCCGTTCCACTGCAACTTTATATCATTTGTGTTTATCATGTGACTTGCTGAATTTCATATTCAAAATTGTTTTAACAAGATATACTCAACCCTCTGTATAACAGCATTTAAAAGTTAGATACAATTTCATTTAAACTCTGATAATAAATGTTGGTAAATTTAACTGTATGAGATTATTAATCAACAAAGTAAAGATTTGTCTTTCAAAAAGTTATACTAGTACACATTAATAACATGTATCGTAATGTAGCAATATTTTATTGGATTTCATGAAAACAACAAATGATCCACAGACTTATTGATGTATAAAACATAGTAGCTTATTGAAATAGTTCAAATATTCTGCACTTTCTTATGTAATATTTCCTAAATTCGGTATCATAATTACCTGAAGTTAAGACTATTCGGCAATCTACTTCAAAAGGATCATGATGCCAATCCTCACACTCTTATGTTATTCTTAGGTGCATTTAGTTCACTTATTATCATAAATGACAAGAGGAACGATCAGGAAAAGGATCACAAATATAAAGCTGAAAAATTGACTTAACTCAGTCAAAGAAAAGAAACTAAACACAATTTAAAACAAGGTGAAAAGTAGTCTTTATCTGCTTGCAACAAAAGTAAAAGATGAGTGCTCAAAGACGACAGACATCACTTCTCTCTTAGTGTTGAGATGTCTTACCAGGAGGAATTCTGGATGAAGTTTAAGAGAGTATAATGTTACATACACAAAACAGTATTATCTCTCCCAGAGAATAGGTACTAACCCTCGTCACTAGTCATCTAATACGTGAAAGTAAGGAGGACATAACCTCCAGACAGTTAATTAGTCGCTAGAAAATGTAGATAGAAGATCAAAACTAGGTCTCCAACAACATCGTCCACGAGAAAAATATCCAAGTGAGACACAGTCTCTAACTCTGTTTAACTAGACACATCATGAATTTAACAAGTTTGAATTAACTGCTATGATTGGAGATTTAGGGAAATGTAGAAGATCAGAAGAGTTGACGGAATTGGAAATAAGGAAATCAAAAACTATGTGAAGAAAGGTTGGTGTAAAATATAAAAATTTAGGTTTTTAGTTTTGGGTGATAGGTAATAACCAGTGGAACACGAGAAGTATTTATTTTAGGTAATTGTTTGAAGGCAGATTCACGTGGTATATTGTTAGCTTTGTCAAGTTGTTGGGTGATATTGTTTTGTTTATAACCTCTTTGTCCGGGTTTTAAGTATACGTGGGCTGGAATTCTTCTACAATAGGTGCCTGTGACTTGTTGGCGATGAATTCGAACAATAAATGGACAGCACACAATCCACTTGTTTTAAAATAGTATATATTCAAAACAGGTCAAACGTATGTACAAAAATTCCTTATACTAATAGGATATCACAGTCTTACCTAAAACTAAATAATTCTCTTTTCTTGTTAAAAGTCCAAAGAGGCTGATTAAGTTACTTTAGAATCCAATTGAGAAGACGAATTCTCTATTCTATTTCTTATTATACAATCTGCGATAAACTCACTTACATTACATCAAGGGTTACCACAGTTGTATCTTGAACATTTAAAAATTGTCTCCTTTCGTCAAAGTCCACACAAACAGGTTCAATTACTTTAGAACATCCTTTGACAAGACAAACTATTCTCCTTATCTCTGTTAAACTGTGAAACTTGCTTTAGAATATCACTCATTAAGGCTATTTTCTCACACGCCGGCTAAATTCACATTTTCTTTCACTAAGTAACTTTTCTCTGGCTGAACTTTACTTTCACTTCACTTATTGGGTCACCTATATACATATATATACCTTGCCCAACTGAGGCCTCGGATTTTCTACCTAGAAGACTCTATGATGTAACAATACCCACTTGGCGAGAAGAATACCGAAGGTTCGAGTAACGTGACGTCAAAAATATTAGTAAAACCTAGACAACAACGTAATTGCAAACACAATGTACGACTCGTACAGAGTTAAGTAACGAAACTTGTCACAACCAAAAATTTAAAACAATCAATCTTCAACACTCCGTTCATGAAAAACAAACAATTATCAAATATTCAAAAATAAACCAAATAATAATGCTTATACTAAACAGTCTTGTATATCCAAAAGTAAGCCCCTCTTCAAGAAAAATATTTACAATATATTATTTATACTATATACAAAGACTGTTCTTAGTTTATACATTAAGTCTCCTCATATAGTCTACACCAATATTTGCAGTTTCCTTGTTGGTCTCTCTTCTCATAGGACCTCTGGTAGGGCTTCACCTTGACTGGATCCCTTGTCTTTGTCTTGATCTTGTGTTGCCTGAGGTCTGTCTTTCCTGATCTATCTATATACTGGCACAGTAGATCTTGTACCTTTTTCTTCTTGTTGCCAGTCAGTTCTTCAATTATGTTGACTTCCTTGTATGTCTCATCTCAACCCAGTGGTCTTAGGTCTTTATCTTCTGTAATGGAGTCACTGTCTTCTGGTTCTGCATCTATGACAGCCACATCTGTCATATCCATCTGTACCACAATAGCTGCACCCATAAGGTCTTCTTCCCTCTTGAAGTACCTATTCAATAGATTGGCGTTGTAGACCTTGGTCATCCCATCCACTTTCTCATTATAGTACATTCTGTTGATAACTTCCTGTTTTACCCATCTTCATGCCCCAAGTTGAACAAAAAATGCGGAATAGCTAACTAATGAATGAATATTTGCTGTAAATTTGTCATCAATGCTATGAGTATAACTTCCAGTTTGGCCGCCAATTTTGATTTCATTCCTTTCTTTAAGTCGCACACTCAATCCTTTTCTGGCTGCACCTTTCTTTTTTCACACCTAAGGTGTATTGATTAGATACTCATTGCAGGAGATATTAGGAATATAAATCTAGTGGCTGAGGCTTAGTGGAACCAAGCACTCTAGCATGTTCTGAGGGATTAATGGTTAGAAGAGCTCTTTTGGATCTGAATAAATATGGATGTCATACATGACTATACCCGAGAAAAATTTTAATCAGCACTATGATATTAATGCTGATAAGACTGGTTTCCATGAAGATGACATGGTATGGCTGTATAATATCCATTACAAGAAAAGACAAAATCTGAAGTTAAACAGTTGCTGGGAAGGACCGTGTTTGTACTAACAGTAATCATTGGTGTGGTTTATAAGATCCAGAAAGACAGGCAGTCCAAACCAAAGGTCATTCACCATGAATAATTTGGGGAGTATGTCAATGAGAAAATGGCAGTGAGGAAAATCAACCTACTGAGGGACCAAGGGTTCATGTAAAAACCACTTCCAGATGATCATCAAGGATTATAGCCACCAATGGATGTACTTGACCACCTACCTTGGAAAGAAAAACCCAGTGAGAGGACAGTCAGTAACAATAAGGGACAAGTGGTCAATCCATTTCGATATCATGGTGCCTTTGAAGATAAAAAACAAAAAAAGACTTGATGAATGGACAGTTTACTATACTGTTTCATTTGTGTATTAAAATTGTTCAAGGGACTTTCACAATCCTGAACTAATACACTCAATGAATATTTACTGAATTCTCAAACTGAATCTTCACACACTGATTATTCACATAAACTGTATTTTTAATGTTATAATTTAGTTGTTTGCTAGAGGGAACTCCTAATACTGATGATAACCCTAGTTTGAGAAAGTTCATAAAAGTAATCCTAGAATACTTAGAAAGTTCATGATGATGTACTACTTTAGAAATCTCACAGAATTTAGAGAACTGAAAGAACATTATAAATGTGAATAATCAGTGTGTGAAGATTCAGTTTGAGAATTCAGTAAATATTCATTGAGTGTATTAGTTCAGTTTTAAATATTGAGAGCTATCACGTCTATTCAGTTACTTGATCGAATGATTAAGCAAGGAAATTCTGTAAGTGTAAGTTTCTGTCTTTGTCAGTTAGGTAACATTAGAGTCAATTTCTGTTGAAAGTGGGTAGTAGCTAACCAGTCTAATCTGTGCTCAAAGATGAAAAAAAAAAATTATATATAGATAAAGAAATTGTTATTTGTTTTGTAAAAGGTGATGTATACTATATGTATGTATAGTTTGATTTTTATGCTAATACGAAAAGTAGTGCTCTACGTAGATTGTAAGGTAAATTAGCGTATGGTGATGATCTCATTATCCATTTCCTAGAAATGTACTATAGAGTTCCTACCTCTAGCAACACAATTTTGGAACTATTTGCCCCCCAGTAACACAAGTTGATACTTTTGGCCCTCTGAGGCCACTTTGTGGTATCTAACATCAAGTGATCTCCCGGTAAGCCCCCACTTGGTGGCACTGTATGATTTCCACTCAACCTGAAACAACTCCTTGGGGCACAGGTTAGGCTGGTTAACTACTGTCATTAGGTGAACTGGACTTCGTATTATTTTCAACAAATAATTTTATAGAACAACGACAGAATACATTAAAACAATATGTTCAATTCTCGTGCTTTATCAGAACAGTACTCCATCTTTTAAAGATCTCTGTTAGATATATTCTACTTAAATATATGTTTAGATGTTGAACTCTCTACAGCTAAAATATACTAAGATCCAATTTTCCAAAAAGGTATAGTGATTTTTGGTTTATCTTCTCTATAATCTGTTAAATTTAAGGGGAGAATACCAGATTTTGATGAATTCCATCTAGTTTATAAGTTATTAGACCTGCTGTAACTTCATACTTACATCAACCTGTCTTAGCTTTAGTCTGCCACTGGTGGCATGAAAAAACGTATCCTCTTGCTGCATTATGGTACGAGGAAGTTCTGTTAATTTCCTTACAGCTGCTCTTAAGGTGTCTATATTTGTAGCCTTTGCCTTAATTTCGATGTTTCTGGACATGTTGATTAATCTTAAAGAAATTATATACATATATGGTCGTTTTTCATACTGGCAAAAATATCAAACAATCGTAACTTTGCTTACAGATAACACTTTATTCAACACTTACAATTCAATACAAATTTTAAAATCATCGCTGTCAGTGACTTAATGAGAACCGATATTGCTCTGAACAGAAGTCCTTCATATGATGATGTAAACTGAAATACACCCTGTAATCAATATTTACAACTTTTAAATCGTAAACGCTTACACTGCTAAATTAGGTACGGCTAGTGCAGACAGCCCTCGTGTAGCATTTCCACGAAATTCAATTCAAACAAATACTGCTGAGCCACTGGGAGGCTAATGTTTTTGGAGTATTTTGAAAGTTTCTAAAAAAGCCCAAAACATGAAGTGTACAGCACTAGCCCGTAGCATTCCTTTATCCTGTTTCGTTTTCTTCAAAGTTAGGTGAAATGTTTTGTTAGACATTAGCGGGTAAAATGTTCTCACTCACCGAATGTCACAACTTGGTCTACGAAGATAAACAATTTCACTGCACATCTCTTCGGCCATATAATTTCAATAAAATAAAAAACGTATAAGCAGAAACTAATTGAAGTATTAGCATTATGATTAGATAATATCAAAAATCAACAATGTTTTACAAGAAAAAGGTGTGTACTGATATTGCTTGTAAAACAAGAACGTTGCTGAATCAGTATATTTTGTTTTTTATTTAACGATATGGATTTAATAAATACTTCAAAACCTATTCATATGTTTTATAAAATATTTAGTAATTAATATGAATTTTGTTATTATCAATAACATGTTAAGTATTTCTCCTTTCAAAAAGTTTTATTTATATATACATCCAATGATACCATCCTAGCCTTTCACAAGCTGATTTTACTTAGTTAAACAATCCGTAAATGCCATGTTATACTCCAAGAAACACGGCCACCTTTGACCCTGCAGCTATAGAGATTCGAAATATTAGTATGTAGAAAGACGAGTTGGTTGAATATGAGACAAAACTCAACAATGGAAATAAAAATTGCGTGTACATACATATACAGATGAAAATGAAAGCAGGCCATAGAAGTGGCAGAACAAGTAAATTGAAATGAAAGAAAGTAGACTTACCGCTGTCCCACCGGGAGACAGTCCAGCTAGAACAGTGAATGATGATATTTAGATGCTCTAGAACATTAATGTGTAGTATGATGTTAACAATAGTCGGGGGGGGGGGGGTAGTTAAAATACTTAACAGCTTTAAGCCTTTTGATTTCCAAGCTGTTGAATGTAATATTTCGGGGGAAAATATTATTTATTATATTTTGTGAGAGTCATTCAAGCTATGCATATAGGTGTTATATCATGAAAAACGTGTTTTAATATTATATAATAATCAACTGTTTGTGCACTATATGGTTGATGAAATAATAATTATGAAACTGGATAACTCCTCATAGACATGGAATAAAAGTTGAGCAAAAGAAAGTAAACTAGGAAAAAGAAGAAGAAAACATTACATAAAGTATTTCTGTCTTTTAAGATGGTATCATTCATTAATTGTGTGTCCTGCTAAAATGAAATATTGAAGAACGTATTTATTTTTTTATCATTTTGGAAATTTCTAGTGTGTTAATTTTTTATTTTATTTTAGTAGTCTTTGGCAAGCATTGACTAATATGGGAATATAATCTGATGAACGATGCAGCTACTTTCATAATCAGCAGTGAAAATGAACATTACTATAACTGTTCTCCCGTTATTCTTAAATATTCTACTAGTTTTATGAGATAGTGTATCCAAATTACACTGAGTGTGAAGTTATTCATTATTTCCACTTAAAGCAGACATATTTCCAGATTCTTGTGATTGGTCAGCTATAGAGAGAGAATGTGTTTTGTGCTTACAGACACGCGTGTTTCTGTTTTCAAAGGACTTGCTAGTGAAGTATGTTCACAATTTGTTTACCTTTAACTATTTTTGCCAACAGTGCGTGTTTTGTTTAACGATTCATCTTTAATTCACTAAGAAACATCTCAATTTTTTTTGCTGTTATTTATTTTTATTTAATGGCAGTTTGTAATTTCAGTAAGATTGTTTTTTTTCTCTTCAATTAAGTTTAAACAGGGGTTTATAGCGCTAAAATCAGGGATTGGATTCCCCTTGGTGGACACAGCAGATAGCCTGATGTGGCTTTTCTATAAACACACACACACGCTAGCTGCACCACAGAAATAATGCATCACTCAATCAGGTTGCTCATAGTGTAACAATCACAAAATCATTTCAGACAACAATAAGGCCATCCTATTTGCTGTAACTGAATGACTGACACAGAGGGGATCGCTAGGTCATTAAATGATTCGGAGCTCTGGAATTTTCTATTCTCATTTTTTGAGACACCAACTGCGGATTCAGGGCACTGTCAAATAGAATCTGGACACTGGCCCCGTGTACCATTGCCTAGCGTCGGTTCTGGGCTGACACAAATTATCCCTTACATATCTATATAAATGCAATAGTACTGTCAGTTGTATGTCCATGTAACTACTTCGCAGGGTGTGGATGGATCTCTATCAAATTGGGTATTTAAGTACATTGGGTCCATGGAGAGATACTTACAAATTTTCAGTTTTGCTTTTTGCAGTTTTTATGGGCGTATTTTATAATTACATATAAGGGAAGCAACTTTTCATGTCCTAAGATAACCTTTCATTAATCATGAATTAACATAACCTCATCCAGGGGATGGGTACTCCAGCTAGTTCTACCAAAAATTACCATTTCATAGCTTAGAACGTTAAGGTAAAAACTGCCTTTGGTTTCACAAACACTTGCATTTTATCTGTTACTCCTAGCCATAAT